GAAAGGATCAGGTCTAAGCATCTTTATAAGTTGAAGGTGAAATAACTCGAATCCGACGAAACAGTTCGATAAACATTTATTTGAATTCTAGTCATGCCGAAAAGTATAGCGAAAGCCCTACATACCTTGTCGATGGAGTTATATACTGTTTCCAAGACCTCAAAAGCCTTAGGAATGATTTCCTACATAATACAAACCATTCAAAATCAAATTCAAGCTCATAGCTTAAATAATTCTTCATTTAGACATTTACGCGAACAACTTGTGGCCATGAATTTGTAGACTCTTTTGTAGATTAATTTCCCCCCAACACACCACCAAATTTTACTTTACTACATCTCCTCATCGACAGGATTCCATCCATGTCTTCACAGATCCAAACAACACAATAAACCCATATAGAACAGCCCCAACAATCAAGCCATATTAAGAGAGGTTTCTTAACTCAAAATTCGAAATTACTTCAAGGCGGAGTCTTGCTATAAAAAGTGAAACACCGAAGAGTTCACGATTCCGAAGCTACCGTGGTGCTCTCCATCTTGAGGATGACAAAATTATTGTTATGATTGGCTAGATGGATGGGAGGAGTTTGAGAGGAAATCCCTAGGTTTTTGGTTCTGTTTTGGAGAGGATAAAACGTAGGGGTTCTGTTTTAAAAATTGACTTAAATAAAGAAATTTTGACTAAACCCGACTAGGCACACTGTTCCCGTAACAGTGTGCACCCCTGTACAAAAATGTTAATATCTCTCTACTTCGAAGTCGTATTAACGAATGGTTTGTTGCGTTAGAAATTAGACTCATAGACCTTCGATTCGGTAGGTAGAACACACCATAACTCCCAGTATATTGAGAGAAAAGCTCATCAACATTTTATCCAAATTCCAGTGAAATTTAAACCCGTAACTTGCGCGCGATCTTTGTCGAATTTTTAATCACAACTCAAATGACTTCCAATCTTAATGTATAACTACCGCATCATTTAAATATCTCATAGAAATTATCTTCCTATCGAATTAGCCCATTTACAACATGATAACGCCGAATACACAAGGTGTAACACAAACTTTGGGTTTTCCCATTTGAACACTCGAACTCATGATTCCCTTAACTAACAAACACATCTGACCCTTGAGCCTATGCGCGTGTATTACACATACACAGAAGTGTCCATCTAGTCAGCAATTGACCAATCCAAAACTAAGACCCCACCCAACTAATGACATGTGTAATTTTTAAATAAAAATTGTCACCTATATTTATATTTTAAAAATAAAAATAAATACAATAAAAAAGAAAACACTTAATCCCTTCCAACTTCCTCTTCCCCTTCCCCGTTCTTTCCCATCTCGCCCCCTCTCCCCCACACCTGCAACTCTTTCTTCTACTTCCATATCAACACTCCCTTCCTAGGTTCTTCTTCGTCTTCTCCTCTTTCTATTTTTTTCTAGCTAGGTAGATTGGCGGAGAAATTTTTCGATCAGCACTGTCGCAGAATTTGTTTTCTTTAAAGTTGTGACTTTTAATTTGTTGTAATGGCCAATTGGCGTGACCTCTTCAACAACAGGAATCGATTGGCATTGCTCTTGGGCGATTTGGACCACTGGAATGCCATCTCAGACCAACTGGAGCCGCCGGAGAGTTGCAGCAAAATGAACAAGGTGAATGCCATCTCTGACCCAGAATTGAAGAATGCCATCTCCGACCCAGAATTGAACAAGGCGAAATGATTATTTTGAGTTACTGGTGCTTAATTAGCAAAAACTCACAAAAAAACAAGATGAAATGATTATTTTGAATTAGCAGTGAGCCCGCAAAGACCGCTGAGAAATTGCTATTGGCGGCTAGACACAGTTGACATCTTACTGAACAGTTCAAAACTGTGGTGGATGTGATTGTTGGTACAATTAAAGGTTTGCAGGTTAAATTGGAAGAAAGCAATAATACTTGTGTGAAAGTCCTGGAAGAAAAGGAGATTCACCAAGAGAGGATCTCCCAACTGGAGACTGATCTAGATGCGTCAAATGATCTTTGCAATGAGATGAAGCTTAAGTTAGAGGATTATCAGGCAAAAGAGGATAATATCAGGGAGAAAGAAGCTGAAGTTTTGTCTCTTAATTCTAAAAATGGAGGAAGGGAGTATTTTAGAAGGAATGAATAAGAACACAATTAAACATAACCCATTTTGTACTGTTGGGCGTTGGGAAGAAAATTTTCACGCTCCAGTGCATCGTGTTCCTCACGCGGGCTACTGATTAGGATCGACTAGCGCCACATAGGCATGATCAATGGTCAAATGTGTTTATTAGTTACGGAAAAAACGAGTTCGAGTGTTCAAATGGGAAAACCCAAAGTTTGTGTATCGGCTTTAAAAAACCCGACAAGTTTAAGTGGTCAGGAAGCCATTTCGCCAAATAAAAATAAATAAATAAAATATAAATTAGAAAAACAAAGAAAATGATCTAACAGAATAATTGATAAAGGGTAATTCTGTAAATTTATCAAGCAACAAGTTGCAGGCTCTGATGTGCCATTGATGATTTTGGTTTTAACTTGTTCATTCATTGAGTCAGACACTTGAGTGAGGAAGCTGGCATGGCAGCCTTTACAATCATACAAAATAATTAAATAAATAACGAAAATGAATGATTAACTTAATATAGGAATTTAAAAATAAATTAATAGGAATTTACTTTTATCAGTAGTAAATGCAACTAATTAATTAAATATAATTAGAAGTGTCATAAGTGGGCCTTCATCAGTAGAACTAAAATAAATCAACTGAAAATGAATGGTAAAATTAATTTAAGAGCCTCACATATTAGCACTAAATGCAACTAATTACTGTAGGTAATAAATTTTCTTCTTTTTTCCTCGAAAATTGGGATTTGGTTGGAGTTAAGCGGCCAGTCAAATAAGCAGCGGTGTATAGCGCACAGATTTCAGGCGCTAAACTAGTATATCGGAGTAAATTCGTGGGGCAAAAGTTGCCGTTGAGGTATAGCACAGAGAATTTCGGCGTTATGTATAGAAAAGTAATATTTTTTACGCTCGTTAACATAACATTTATCCAAAAAGACAATAGAAAGGTTCCAGACTCGTTCCACATGCAACAATTTTGTAAGCAAATGAAAGCACAGAGCTAAGTTTGCATTTCACCAAAACAATTACTACTAAAAGCATTATATTACATTCTCCATTTCCAAAATGTTTACAACTTGGATCTTATTTAGTACATTCCATTAGAACACAAAGGCAAATCTTTATATTACATAATCATACAGGAGCACACGCATTTGGATATATATAAATAATGTCAGAGCTACGAGAGGAGTTGAATACAGTTCTGCCGCGGAATAAAAATAGCTTCCAAAGGTTTATCCTTACTCAAATTTACCTTAGAATTATAGCATGCATCCAGGTTATTTTCCTCTTCAACATTTTTCCAGTCAAACCACTGAATCAATGAACCCAACACCAATGAAACAGTGCGCAAACCCATATTGGCTCCAGAACATGCTCTTCTCCCCATTCCAAATGGTATAAACTTATAATTAAACCCTTCTTTTTCTCCTAATTCCATAGCCTCAAATCTCTCGGGTTTAAACTTTTCGGGCTCATCCCATAACTTAGGGTCCCTATGGATCGCCCAAGCGTTGACCATTAGGATCGTATGTTTTGGTACTTGATATCCCCCAATAGTACAATTTTCTGACGAGTAGTGAGGCAATAGAAGTGGTACTGGAGGGTACAACCGCAGCGTCTCGTTTATAACACAGTGCAAATAAGGAAGCTTGGCGAGATCAGATTCGTTTAGCAATCGCTTGTTCCCAACTTTGCTATCAATCTCAGATCTTAGTTTTTGAAATGCCTGAGGGTGAGCTAAAAGAAGTCGCATTGCCCATTGAATGGTCATTGATGTGGTCTCTGTTCCAGCAACAAACAAAACCTGGACCACCACACGTTTTTTAGCCTAAATTTATGCATACATATTGCACATTTCATCTTGTCCATGGAGAGTTGAATTTCTTGACAATGACATTAGTAGTTTGACTTCAGGTATGTACGTTTGACTTTAAACTATAGACTAAAAAATGTACATACGTGAAGAGGATATTAAACTATGAGTAACGACCAATAATAAGCGAGCTTAATAACCTTAAATTTTTGGTTTTACCCTTAAATAATAAGTTTCAAAAGTCTATTTTTATTTCTTAAATTCCATGCTTATTCAAATATCATTACATAAGAGTATACTACAAGAAAAAGCTTAATTTGTAGGGGTTTATTTAGGGAGGTCATAAGAAACCCCCACTAGTCGTTAGTTTTGTGGCGTTTGTACCCATCCCCTCAAAATAATTGTGTTTGCGGAGGTTTATCTATAGGGGTTGTAAAAGAACCCCCACTAAAAGCCAGTCAAAGTTTTGATTCTTTGTGTTTCCCGCGATAACTATGACCCATTCCCTCCATTCCTTTTCTTTTTTCATATTTCCCTCGTTTTATTGCTCTTTAAAAAATCACAAAATAAGATTTGAAAATATTTCAGAGATGTCTCATCAATACGCGCTCGCTGCTGTCCAACCTATCTCGTCTCTGCTCTCATCGCTGCTGCCCAACCGTCGTTGCTCTGTCTCCCCATCACAGGGCACCATCGTATTACAACTCATCTACCACTACTCTCTCTCTCTCTCTCTCGCAGCCCATAGACTTCGACAGTCAAACCCTAATTTTGCTGGTGGGAAATTAAAGGTGGAATAACATTCACTAGGTTTATTTTTCAAGAATTGATTGCATAACTCGTACAGATTTTGTTTCCTTGCGTTGTTCATTGATATGCTGCAGATCTCACTTTATATTTTACCATTGTGAAGTCAGCAATAGTTTACCAGTACCTAGTCGTTGCTTAAATTGTTAGGGTTGTTGCATAGAGAATTTTAGGGGCCAAAGCTTTGAGTAATTTTAAACGATCCCTAACTTCGTTGGTGATCGCTATATAAATCTCCTCACTCTTATATCTCAAGTCCTAGTGCTCTTTGCTTCACTATTCTACAACTCTAAAAGGTATAACAGATCCCCCTTGCTGCCTTTTATTTTTGGTTCTTACCATTGCAATTTTAGTTTTTTTCTGTTGTTTTAATCTTATTCTTGTGCACAGACAAACTTGTAAGATTATTTTTACTGTATTTACTTATGTGTATAGTGCATGCCAATTGTTTGATGAAATACCGTTATTTATTCTCCCATTGAACTCTGCAAGCAGATAAAAGAACTAAAATGATCCAATGTATAGCAGAAATTTGAAGCTACGTGTTTGGAGATGAAAAAGGCTATGTATGAGGTAAACCTCACCTCTCTAAATTAACTTTTCTTTGTATAATAACTGGTGACATTATATGTTTGATAATTCTCTTGTTCCTTGGGGTTATTAACAAGGTCTTATGTAAGCTTCCTTCACTAAACTGATCCTCTCAAATAAGAGGCTTTTTCCACACCAACTGAAAGTTTGACCTTAGAGCTTTAGGATGGTTGAATAAATTGAACTATGACCATATTCATCAACCAAAAATAAAAAATAAAAGAATAAAAGTCATGATCATAAATTGCAGATGTTGCTATGACTGTTGCATGGTACTTCATTTCCTATAAGATACGCAATGGATGACCAATAACTTCGGGTGCCCAATAAATATGTCTTGCATCTTTTTGCTACAAAACAGGTCCATTGGGTTTAATAGGAGGAAAAGTTAAGGAAAAACTATATATACTTGCCCCTCGTCCTTACTCATCTCATGTTATTTGAAATTTGTAGTAGTTTGGACATACTTAATACTTCAACTTCTCTCAGTGATTAATAAAATGCAAGAAGTCACAGAAACTATATTCTAATTTTTGCAGTTGGGTGGGAGCTTTATACTTTATATTCTGCCTGTCAAGGATTTATATTCTATATTTAGCTTTGGTAGTCTGAAATGGTTAGTGAGGATTCATATAGCTAACCCACTAGCTTGGAAATTGAGGCGTAATAGTAATAGTAGTACAACTGTTGTTGCCCTTAGTTTTATTAGGAGACTACTCTCTTCTTATATAAAAAATATATTTACTTCATTTTTTCAGTTGCATGAGATTTATGTTTCTCCCTGTTTGAGCTCCTAAGCATTTATGTCATTTCAGTATAATAAATATATGGCTGTTGGATTTCCATGTTAGTGAAGGGAATAAATAATGAGGTAGTCAATATGTTTCCTGAAAGCTCAAGGGTAATGTTAGTTCTACGGTTGCTTTCCTCCGGAAGATTTTGACTTCTGAGAAAGCTTACTAGTTAAATTATTTGCAACAGTAGATTTAGCTATGGAAAGAAAAAGTTTATTTAGATTGGTCAATGTACCCATTTGTCTTGTCAAGGCTCTGCATAATTTGAATTCTTGATTGCATTGAATGTAAATTTTTGTAACTTTATCTACAACATATGTTCTGGACTACAAGAACATTGAGAACTCCCTGTTCTTAGTTAAGTTCAGGTTTTTATAACCTATCAATTTCTTTTCCATTGTATCATTACCATGCTATTTCCAAAGAGTTAATAGTTTTCTTAAGAGTTTTAGTACCTCCTGTCATTTGTGTTTCGGCAGTCTCTGGAGTCTTAGCTAAAGAGCAGTACTCTATTCTATTTAGAGTAAATGGTGGAGCTAAATATTATGTAATGAAAATATACAGTTTTTACTATCCTAGCTAGTTGGTCACCGTATTATATTTCATACTTGATAATAACTTTGTTTAATTCGGTATGGATTTGAATATGTAATGTTTCTCAATAAAACATTAATATCATATTCGGGGGGTTATAAAACCCCACATACTTTTTTTCTAAAAAGCTGAAAACATATTATGGGCTTTAAAAATCCCCGTGGTATTTTTTTTTGAAACATTAAAACTATATTAATGGAGGTTCTAAACCGTCACAAATTGATTTAAAAACCCCCACAATGTAAATAGTCATTTTGTGGCGTTTGTCGTGGAGGTTTTAAAAAACTGCCTCAAATATGCTTGTGGAGAACGTAACTGTGGCGTTTTTAAAAACCGCCACAATACAATTTGTAAGGGTCAAAAACCGTCACAAATTGACAAAATAACCCCCATAAGTTGAGCCTTTTCTTGTAGTATATATAAGTTAAATCCTCTTGCCAATACTAGTAGTCTAGGTTTAATATCCTCTTCACGTGTGTGCGTTCTTCCTTAGATATTTTAGGTTTCTCAAATTGTGATAGGTGATTGTTACAAACAGGAAAAATCATATGAAAAAATTATGGTCAAAGAAAAATTAGTTTGACTCTTGAAAACGAAAACAGTACTAATTAATAAGTCTAGCGCACGAGGAATATATTCAATTTATTGATAGCACTAACTTTGAGAACGTACCACTAGAAGGCTTTTAATAAGATCATCTGTGTAGAATTCAGGTTCAGATTGTTGCAGAGACAAGAGAGTTTCAACCAGCGTCTTCTTCTCATTCTCCTTGGTTACATTAGCAGTACTAACGGACTCTGAAACAGTAATACTAGTACTACTTTTCTTCTGTCGAAATTCGTCAAGTAAGCTGCTCAAGAATTCATTTCTCTTCGTATTCGTTAATACCATCTTTTTCTCGATCCCTTTGTACCCAAACCATTTCAACACTGGTAAGAAATCACACACGTTCAAAACCAATAAGTTGGCAAAGAAAAAACCTCTCATCTCTTCAATAGTTTTTTCCCCCTTCTCTTTTCCTATATCTTCCTCACTTACACAACATTTTCCAGTACCAATTCTCATCATAACGTTAAAAGCAAAAGCAAAAGCCCAATGGCTCAAATTAAGTACTCTCATGCTGCCACGTGTACTTTTCGAGCTGGCTTTAAACAAAGAGCGAATTAAGATTCCAAGTTCTTCATTCCGAATTGTAGAAGACTTTTGAAGACTATTAGAAGAGAATAACTCAACCGCTGTTTGGCGGCGGAGAACTCTCCAGAGATTGCCGTAAGGGGCCCAGAAAATAGCTGTATAGTTAAAAGAAAACCGGTCTCCTAGCATGCTACGTGGCCGGTTCGCAAATATGATATCGTTTTTAGTAAAGCATTCTTCCACGGCAGATGGGGAAGATACAACAAGTAAATTTCGGCAACCGAACCAGAGATATAAAACCGGTCCATATTTAGTTGATAAGGAGGTTAATGTCTGGTGTAGGGAATTTTTTATAAGGTAAAGATGACCGATTATTGGGAGACACAAAGGACTAGGTGGTAAATGTTTCCTGGGACGAAGAAAATGTTTTAGTAGTAAAATGACAAGAAAAAACAGAAAGATCTCCGGGTAGTAAGAGTAATATAGGTTTTGCATGCCTGAAACAACAGAAAATGCTTGAGCTTAGAACTCTGGATAACTCTTTGCAGTGAAAGCCTCTTTTTAAATAGACGGCCCTCAGCCCTTCTCTATTTAATATTTTAATACTGGTGTTGTTGAATGATCATGTGAAACTCAATTAAATTGTGAAACTCAACAGAGTTTGCTACTGAACTGTAGGTTAAAATATCATGTTGGAAATATATGGTGGCCCTTCATAATATCATAAGGGAAAGGTATTTAAAATTACTTCACTCTTATACTAAATGTTCATAGGGTGATCTCCTTTTAAATTTTCTCTCTCCTCTTTTCTTCTCTCGGTGCACGTTAGGTGAACTGCTAACCTACGCCATCCGAAATGGGAGGAAGAGGACGAGCGAAGAAGAATGCTAGCAAAACACCAGTCATTGAGAGGAGATTGACGGACATCATCACACGCAAGCAAGGAAAACGAAACACTAAAGCAAAGGAGAAAATACAAGAGGAAGATCTGGAACAGGACAGTGACAGTGATCCAAATTGGTCGGATTTGGGTAATAATCGAGTCAAAATGGTAACACCGGTGAGTTCTAGCACTCAATTGACACCTATGGTGAATTCTGGTAAAGGAATTGTTGCAGTGCTGAATGCAAGTGAGCAGCCGAGCTCGAGCAAGGTCCAGACTAATGGAATAGTGCATGCAAGTCCACCAAAGGAACAGAGGAACTCAACAGAGTGATAGACAGAACAAAACTTCGCAGAAAAAAGCAGATCCAGCAGTGGATAAGGGTAGATCATGGGCAGGACTTTTCCAAGAGAACAAAATGGCAGCAAAAGGTATGAATCTAACTTACATACCTCCTGTGATGCCTCATGTGATGAAGGATAGTGAAGTAGTGGTACAACTGATGGAAGAGGATATCGAAGAGGAGAATCAAAAGTGGAATCGAGCACTTATACTTTATGTGGTAGGGAATACTCCATCAATTGGAGCTATTGAGAGATTCATAGTTAACCAATGGGCTAATGTTCAGAAACCTAAAGTGCTCTACCATAACGATGGGTACTTCATTATATTGTTAAGCAACATTGAAGAGAGAGAGAGGATGTGATGCTGAATGTGCCTTATACACTGAATAACAGGCCAATTATTATTAGGCCATGGTCGGAGAGCTTTGATTTCAATGAAGAAGTTCTGAAAACCATTCCCTTAGGGGTGAAACTCCCAAAGTTGCCACTCAACTATTGGAGTAAGAAGGTTTTAAGTAAAATTGAAAGTGGATTGGGGAAGGCAGTGTATGCTGATGCTTGTACTACAATAGCTGAAAGAGTCTCATATGCCAGGGTTCTAATTGAAATGGATGTTACAAGACTTTTGCCAGAGAGGATTAAACTATATGATCCTAGAGGGAAGGTGATGGAGCAGATGATTCAGTGTGATTAGAAGCCACACTACTTCCAAACATACTGCCAGCTAGGCCATTCATGTAGAGATTAGAAGCAACAGAAACAAGAAGGAATAATACAGAAGAATATAGAAATAAAGCAGAAGTAGGAGTGGAAGAAAGTCAGAAATCTTGAGCATGCTGCATATAAAATTGATGCTCAAGGAATATTCCTTGATCAATTGGTGGAAGCAGAAAATGTGCAATCAAGTAAGCAGGAGGTTGATCCACAATGGCAAGTTGCTCGAGGGAAATCTGCTACAAAGAAGAATGCATAAGTGGTAAGTGAAAATGAAGTGGACATTGGCAATGCCTTTAAAGCATTAGTTGATACTGCTCAGAAGATAGTTCAATTATCTGAAGCCCAAGGTGTGAGGGAGAAGCAGACTAAGAAGACTAGGGAAGGTGATCCACAACAAACACCCATATCGATCATGTTGAACGTTATAGCAGGGAATGTGAGAGGCTTGAATAAGGTATATAAGCAAAAATAACTAAAAAAAATTTTGTAGGACAAATAAAGTGTTATTGGTAGCTATTATAGAACATAGAGTGAAGAAAAGCAATGCTAATTCAATAATAATAAAGAAGACTTTCAACAATTAGAGGTGGACTGACAACTATAATGAAGCTCTAGGTGGTAGAATATGGGTAGCATGGGATGCAACTCAGGTGGACTGGTTGATGATCAGAACTCATGAACAATTTATAATGGGGAAGATAACTATGATACAGCACAGAACCAGTTTCAATTACTGTGCACTTTATGGTAAACACACAGTCCAAGATAGGAAAAGTTTATGGGAGGAATTGAAGGTGTCAATGCAGGATATGAACAATCCTTGTCTCATAATGGGGGATTTCAATACTATCTTAACTAGTGAGGATAGAATCAATGGAAACCCTGTGCAGGAGAGTGAGATAAGGGATTTCAAGGAGTTCCTAGCGGATGCAGGATTAAATAAATTGAAGACTGTGGGTAGGCAGTACACATGGACTAATAACCATGTCCATAGGAGGATTGATAGAATCTTGGTTAATACATAATGGATACAACAATGGCCTTACATGGAAGGAATCATTATGAATCCAGGTTTTTCAGATCACAGTCCCTTAAGTGTGGTTTTTGAATCAACAACCAAGCAGGCATGAGACCCTTCAAATTTTTCAATTGTTTGACAAGCTTAACTGAGTCTGATGGAATAGTAAGGCAAGTAGGGAAGAACATCAAAAAGGGACCTGCCATGTTTTATGTGTGGAATAAACTCAAAACACTAAAAAGGGCCCTAAAGCAATTGAATAAGTAAGAGTTCAGTGGAATAGGAAGCAAGATACAAGCAGCAAGGGGGAGATTAGAAAGTATATAATAACAAATTAACAGCTGAACACCCCAGGTCAAGATGATGAAGCAGTAGCTCTTGAAAAAGCTACAAAGTTAGATTTGGAGAAGTGGCTGATGGTTGAGGAAAGTGTTATAAAACAGAAGTCCAGGATACAGTGGCTTAAGCTTGGTGATTCTAACACAGCATACTATCATGCTTGCATGAAGAACAAGCAAGCAAGGAATAGCATTAACAAATTAGTCACTAGAATTGGGCAAATCCTAAAAAGTTCAGCTGAAGTGGAGGAAGAAATCCTAAGCTTCTATAGGGGTTTACTTGGTACTGCAGCAACACAACTGCCAACTGTTAATCCTGAAATCATGCAGAAGGGCCATATACTAACTAGGAGGCAACAATTACAGCTAATAAGACTAGTTACTAGAGAAGAAGTGAAACACTCTATAATGGATATTGATGATAACAAGGCACCACGGTGTGATGGTACAATGCTTTCTTCTTCAAGAAAACATGGCACATCTTGGGGGAGGAAAAGACTGCAGCAGTTAAAGAGTTCTTTGGCAGTACAGATATGTGCAAAACCATTAACTGCACAATAATTACTTTGATACCAAAGATTCAGAATCCAACAAACATAAGGGATTTCGGGCGAATCTCATATTGTATACAGTCCTCGATAAGATAATTTCAAAAATACTTACAGCAAGAATGCAGGATGTGATGGAAGAACTGATAGATAATTGTCAAGCTGCCTTTGTACCTAGGAGATTGATTACATACAACATTCTTATGAGCCATGAACCGGTCAAGGGATATGGGAGGAAGGATATTTCTCCTAGATGTATGCTTAAAATAGATATGCAAAAGGCATACAACTCTATGGAATGGGTGTACATTGAACAAGTACTGAGGTTACTGAACTTCCCTAAAATATTTGTGCAGTGGATAATGGACTGCATCACAACTATATCCTATTTTGTGTTAATCAATGGTAAGCCCTCTATACCATTTGAAGCAAGAGAAAGTTTAAGGCAGGGAGATCCACTGTCCCATTTCCTATTTGTTTTAGAAATGGAGTACCTAAGTAGGTCTTTGAAAACACTGAAGGCCAATAAGCAGTTTAAATTCCATCCAAGGTGTGCCAAGTTCAACTGGGATTTGCAGATGACTTACTCCTATTTTGTAGAGGTGATATTCAATCCGTCCAGATGCTGCACTAGCACTTCCAAATGTTCTCAGCAGCCTCAGGTCTAATTGCTAATCCAAATAAAAGCAGCATTTACTTTGGTAGTGTGAACAACATTATCCAACAGCAAATTATGGACATACAAGGCTATACTAAAGGTGAGCTACCATTCAGATATCTAGGTGTTCCTTTGAGCACAAAGAGACTGTCTGCCATTCAATGTGAACCATTAATAGAGAGGATGCTAAGAATAATTTAAAGTTGGACAACAAAGTTTCTGTCATATGTTGGAATAGCAGTCCTAGGCAAGAGTGTGCTATTTTCTATACAAACTTTTTGGGCTTAGCTCTTCATCTTGCCCAAGAAAATTGTTCATTTCATAGAAACAATTTGTAGAAGGTTCCTATAGACAGGAAATGTTGAACCAACAAAGAAGACTTTGATAGCCTGGGACAAACTGTGTTCACCAAAAGTAGCTGGGGGATTGAACTTCATCAATGTGGAGCTATGAAACAAGGCAACCATTTGCAAGTTACTATAGAGTATTTGCACAAGGAAAGAGAAGATGTGGATTCAATGGGTGCATACTTACTGCATAAAGGGGAACACAATCTGGAATACAGAACCAAAGAATGCATCATGGGCCATACAAAAGATTTTCAAAGCAAAGAACTACTTTGCAAGTGCAGGACTCTCAGAAAAAGATGTTCAGAAGATGGAAAAATGTTCTGTCAAGCAACTATACAGAACCATGCAAGGAGATTTTCCTAAGGTGCCATGGAGAAAACTAGTATGCAACAATCAGGGACAACCCAAGTGGACATTCATTCTAAGGCTGGCAATTCAGCTAAGACTGGCTACTAAAGAAAAGCTAGCAAGATGGGGTATGATTGAAGATCAAACATGTTCATTGTGTAACAAGGAAAACGAAACAGTGCAACATCTATTTTTTGACTGTGACAGGAAAGATATGGCTTCGACTACTGGAATGAAAAGGTATAAAAAGACCAAAGAAAGCTTGGCAGGAGGAAGTGACATGGATGACACAGGTAAGCAAGGGAAAGAGTGCAGGAGCAGC